GTCCCACATGTTCACACGCGCCGCGTTCGCCAAGACGTCCAGGTGTTGGTGGTGGCTCTCCACGACGTTTGTACTCGTGTGGTACAGGCACGTAATAAGGGGGGGGGGGGGCGATCGCCCCCCCTGTCGTCCTCTAGATAGCCGCCTGAAAGTAGGCAATTTGCGCTACAAAACCCCTGTATGTAGGCAACTTTCGATACACCGCCCCCCCTGTCCGCCCACCCTTATTACGTGCCTGGTGTGGTACCTACGCCAGCAAGACAGTAAGCGCGGGCCGACGCGCACCAGCCACTGCGTGTAGAAGTACGCAAAGAAGCCGTACATGGCTGCGTAAACTTCTTTCTCCCGGGCGAACTCCTTATGGGGTGGGAAGAAACGACGATCGGTTATTTAATTATTTGAAAAAACACGCTACGGTTGTTTACTCATAAAAATTGAATAAATAACTAACGAAAAATATTGCCTTTCCAACCGCACCTTGACACAGTTGAAGCCCTCGCCGATCCTATCGGCGGGGAGGCGGGGCACAGTGACAAGAAGCTGCACGCACTTCTCTGCGAACCTGTTGCCTCTGACGGCGCCCAGGAGGCCGAGGCGGCCCACGGATCCCCACGAGCTCCGCGTGTGGTGGACGAGGCAGCCACTCGCCGTCGCCCCGAACACTCGCCGCCACGCGTTGGACTGGCCGATCTCGAAGTCAGTGGTGACGTTCCTGACCCTCAGCCCCAACTCGTGCAGCTTCGCCAGCACGTTCATGTACGTGGCCTCCAATCGGTTCTCCATAAGTGCATATGCCACGGGAATCACCTGTAAAGGAACATGCAACGTATTATAACTAATATATCAATTGTGCACAGCTGACCTCACGCTCGCTCACTCACTACTCATAGATATGATGTTTGGGAAGAACGAGGCCATTACCGCGACCACACTGAATAGTTACAGTCACAAATTGAAGCCACGACCATCGTAAGTGTGAGGTTAATGATACTCGGGAAATTCCAGCGTGGACCGGGCCCCACTCTGGCCCATACCCTAAGGGTACTGCAGGCCAGTGGCGTAGGAACGTTTTTGGTAAGGGGGCAGGCAAACCCGTGGCAACCAAATTGGCGCCCCCCCCCC